AAAAAAAAAAAAAAAAAAAAAAAAAAAAAAAAAGAAAACCAAGAGATTGAAAAGATAACAGTTGGGTCCTGAGGAATGAGAAGTAATAGTCAAGGAAGAGGGGGTTAAAATGGAGGATGTAGTGTTAGGGAAGCCCTGGGAAGAGAATCCTTCAGGGACCAGTCAGTGTCACTTGCTACCAAGATGTCAAACAACACAAGTACTTAAAAGAGACCACTAAATTCTGTTCCTATGGAGACTATTTTGGTGAGTGCAAATTCAAGAGGACTAGAAGGAGCAGGGAGAAGTAAGGGGATGGAGACTACAGTGAGGACCAGGTGCTCAAGGGTCGGACCCGGTTACCCTTTGTTGATCATTTATGTATAATGGAGGAAAGTCCTTGTTCTTAAGGAATTGTGGCTTAACCAGGGAAGTGAATCATAGTCTCAAGAAGTGAAAAAATCAATTACAAACCGTTTTCTGGTATATTTTAAAGGTACAGTTGATGTCTTTCAACTGAATGAAGTCAGCTGCCTTAGCACCTTTAGTCTGTTCTAACAAAATATCTCAGACTGGGTGATTTATCAACAGAAATTTATTGCTGGTTGGTCTGGAGGATGGAGTCCCAGATCAAGGCATCATCAAATTTGGTGTCATTCTTGATTCCATTTACACAACACTTAACACCTCACCCCAATCAGTCTGCAAATGTTACATATCCACTCCTTTTTTTTTTTTTTTTTTTGTTTTTCTCCGGTACCGGGAACCGAACTCACAACCTTGCGCTTGCCAGGCAGGCGCTTTTGCCGCTGAGCTAAATCCCCAGCCCCTACATATCCACTCTTGATTGTCTCTTCACTGCTATTACTTGGTTCAAGCCTTCTTGATCTTACCTGTAGACCAGTCCGTGGAACACTGACTGGTCTTCTGATTCCAGTCTCAGTATATCTAATTCAGTGTTATCAATGATCTTCCTTTCAAAAATATAAATCTCACCCAATTTTATCTTATTGAACAAGAGGACTGGGGATATAGCCCAGTGGCACACTGCCTACCTGGCAAGCACCAGGTGAGTTTGGTTCCTGGTTACTGCCCCCCCCCCAATGTAATCATGAAAAAGACAACTAGTACCACCTTCAAAGAATTTATATTGGAAGATTCTTATATAATTATCTAAATCTTATTTCCTTTAAAGTCCTTTAGGGGCTTACCACTACCTTCCCGTTGCCACCTTAAAAAGCTCTTTGTGATCTGGGCCAATTTCCTTTCCTACTTTGACTCCCTAAATTTCTTCTGCTCCAGTCAAACCAACTTCTTCCCTTGACTTGGAAACTTTGTGCTACCACTATACCTTGTACTTGTCCATATTAAAGCCCTATTATACCATACTAGCATTATTACTTGACATACTGCTAAACTGTCACTTTTTGAGGGTCACAGGAGTCTTGGTCATTTTATCAAGAGTTGGTGTAAAGCAGAAAGACAAACAGTATCACAATAATTCAGAAGGAGAAGGATGCTACTAAGTCTGGATGCACCACCTGGGCATGGTGGCGCATGCCTGTTATCCCAGCACTTGGGAGGCTGAGGCAGGATCACTGGAAATATGAGGCCAGCCTGGGCTACAAAGTCAGTTCAAGACCAGCCTGAACTGCATAGTGAGACCCTGTCTCAAAAAGACCAAAACAAAACAAAAAAGTCTGGATGCACCAAACAGATACACTTCTATATCATCTTGGACAACTCAACTTTTCTTTAATCTATATCCTTAAAATTTTATGTCAAGTGAGACTGCATGAAGATACTTATTTTTTGAGGAGTAAAAGCTTTCAATTTAATAAACTATTATTTACTAAGTTTTAAAAACAATTTATGCTTTGCTGAATTTAAGAAATCTTTGACAAACCCAAAGTCACTAAATTTTCAACTATATGATTTTCGCCAAATCTTTGCATCATCCTATTAAAGTTCCCCTGAAGTACATTACCTTAGTCCACTTTGTATTACTATAACAAAGTATCTGAGGCTGGATAAGTTTATAAAGAGAAGGGGTTTATTTCATCTCACAGTTCTGGAGTTCCAAGATCAAGGGCCACATCTGGTGATGGCTTTCTTGTTGGTGAAGTCCTGAAGTGGTTTAGGGCATCACATGGTAAGAGACAGGCAGAGTACATGACTGTGTATATTTTCTGGTCTCTTTTATAAAGCCACCAATAATTCAGTCACTGGGATTCAACCTTGATGACCTTATCAAACCCTAGTCATCTCTCAAAGGTCTCAAACTCTACATACCATTGTTGGATTGTCCCCATCACCTTAAGATGTCACAATGGGGATTACATTTTCATGTATGAACTCTTGGGGGACACACAGTCTGAAAAGTTTTTTTTGGAAAAATATCTGAGGGAAAAATGGGGTATATGATTTAATAGTATTGTGGTCCAAAGTAAGAAACAAAAAATTAAATGTTGATTACAAATTTAACACCTATGCATACAGACACTCAATAATTATTTTATAAACCAAGTGTATTTAAAACTTGAAGACTAACTTAACAAAAGCATAAAAAAGTATATAAAAGATCATCTCAGTAAGTATAAAAAGATGCCAGGAGTGATGCATATACCTGTAATTCCAGTACTCACGAGGCTGAGGCAGGAGGATTGTGAGTTCAAGGATAGCCAGGGATACATAGCAAGCTGAAGGCTATCCTGCACTACCTAGACCTTGTTCCATCACCATAAAGCAAAACAAAACAAAACTATAAAAAGAATCACATTTCAAGTTCTTGTAACTAAATAACAAATATGTTTTTATTTTTTCTGATACATTTTAAAACATGAACGTTCTGTAATTTAGCCACAGTCCTTATTTCCAGGTAACTTCTTCATTGGGCCTCAATTCCCTATATAGAAAGAAAGAAAGAAAGGAAAAACTGTAAATAAAACTTTTATGAGGTCATCAAAAGAGTATTTTATAGTCTATTAAACTGACTCATTAAAAATGTTATATTAGATTCATCCTATTTGCTCATGACCTTAAACTCTTAGCATGTCTTCATTTTCTCAGCTTAAAGACTTTAATTTCTTAGTACATATAATAGTGATTATCCTTTCAATGAGTTTATTCAGTGTTCTCTATATCCTTTTTAGCTCACTTAAAATCCTTGACTTGTGAACCACCCCTATATAGTACCTGTGAATGCTACTTGCTCCTCTTTTTCCTTTTTGCCTTTGTTTTCCTGAGACATGGTTTTGCTATACAGTTCAGCTTGGCCTTGAACTCACTATGTAGCCCAAGCCGGCCTTAAACTTGTGGCAATCCTCCTGCTTCAGCCTCCCCAGTGCAGGGATTATAGGCATGTGCCACCATGCCCAGCTATAGCTCTCTTGTCCCTTGAGCTTCTTCCAATCCAGATAGATGTGCACCCACTGGCACATACTCTGTCTGCTGATCATAACTCTCTGCTGCCAGAGGTGCCATCTCTGAAGATACAATGGAACCAGGCAGCTGCCAGCTGCAATCACTGAACCACCATATTTAAAGCTCTGAGGCAGTGTTGCTGAAAACACAGCACTGGGTCACTTTTACTATATTTATTTGACTTGTGTCCTGGCTGAAGTAAGATAATACATGTGAAAGCTTTACACAGGATAAGATTTGACTAACTGGTTTAAAACTTTGTTTCTATGCTAAAATGTACCTTGAATTTCAAAAAATGAAACTTTCTCAGAGATCTGCAATAGCCTGTTTATAAAATGAAGACTTTACATTCCAGAGGTAATCATATAATTTTATCAAAGGAGAAAGTAATAAACAAGCCTAAAAAATAGTTATCACTTGAATCTAAGTCATTAGGGGAGAAAAAGTACCCTCTCTGCTTATCTTTGACACACACTGTATTAAGAATATTCAATAGCCAATAGCTGGCCAATAGTAGTCATCTGACTACTGATTTAAAAAAAAATAAATGTGTGACTAACCTTTTAAATAGCATACTCTTGTTCCGGAAGGCAGTTAGCGTTTCATCATTCTTTCTGTCCAGATACCATCCAAAGACAAATCCCATAGGGACAAGTATATGTACCCAGTGGTCACGCACAATCTGAACTATGTTGACCATGACTGCTAAAAACAAAACAAAAAGATTATCAGAAATACAATTTCCCTTAAAGTATCTTCTAAATTGTATCTGAAACAGAAAGATAGCTGTGAATGTGAAGTAGATCTTAAAATGTGCCTCCAAATCTGCCGGGCATAAGAATGTACATTAGTACAGTAATAAAAAGACAGTACAGTCATTAACATCTACTTGATGGACATTAGGTGATAACGGTCAGTTTAAAATTACACTGCAAAAGAAAATAAAAAATACGAAAAAGAAAAAATAAAATTGCACTGCAATAAAATAAAATCTATTTATTAAATTTATTTCTCACTTTACCAGTGACTTGATATAGAGCTGAGTAGCAGAGTTTAAAAGAATTCTACTCATCACACAGGCTGCGGTGGTGCACACCTGTAATCCAAGCACTTGCGAGCTTACTCAGGAACCCACCTCAAGTTTGAGGCCAACCTGAAGGTTTGAGGCCCGACCTCAAGTTTGAAGCCAGCCTGAACTACAAAGGGAGACCCTATTTAAAAACAAAACGAAACAAACAAACAATAAGTCTACCTGTAAAAGATGATTATTTCATGATCCCTAGTATTGAGAATTTTTACATGTGCAAAATATTCAATATCACAATAGATCTGAATCTCAATTAAATGATCCTATAAAAGATAAAGAAAGGGAGTTTACTTTTACAGATGACTACTTGGGCCATCATATATTTCTACATATAGCATGAAATAACTATTATGAGCCTTGTTTTACGAATAAGGAAATAGCTTAACTCAAGTAGCTTTTTAGTGGAGGCCTAGAATTCAAATTCGGATTCACTCCAAATATCTGCCTCCTATCACTCCACACTGCCTCTACTAAGACCTCTCCATGAATTTATGTTTTTGATACAATAAGAGGTCTTAATTGCTAAGTTTTCAAAAGTCAGAGGAGAACTAGTAGTCATGATGTGAAAATTAACAAATATACACTAACTCAATAAAACATAGTTAAACTGCCATCAGTAAAGGCTTGTATATAGATAATAAAAACACTCAGAAAAAAGGGAATTGTAATCCAGTGCAGATAATATATCTAAAAGTGTACCATGACTTAATACAATTGTCTAACATGTTTTTATGTCCTTTGGCCCCTTAGTCTGGTTTTCATTATACATATATGATAATTAACCTTACAAGGTCTTACAAGATAAGTAAATGAATCCAATGCTGGAAAAATAAAAGGGGGGATGTGGGAAAAGGATATTGAAATGTATTATGTACATGTACCAATCTCCTACAGTGAATGTAATCATTATGTACTGCAAACATGTACTAACAAAAGTGAAAAAAACATACACATTCTTGTGCATGTGAATAAATCATACACCACGGCTGACAAGATGTAAGACAACACCGTAGTAGAATACCTTACTGCCAACTAAAGTGCTTAGCATTAATCTGTGCTAGGGATACGTAGACTCAGTTCATATCTCTCCTTCTGACCTGGCCCACATACTTACACAATTCTAATTATGTCTCAAGCTTTCATTAAATACCCATTATCCAAACTCATTGGGGTAGACGCTGGCCATGCTGCTAAAAGTTGCACAAGTGCGATATACCATAGCTCATAAATACCATGTAAAACTACACATAGCAGGTTCTAGTCCATGTCACTGATCTAGAAAACTATGATCTAAGCACATGATGAGACATTTAAGTGTACAATTTACAAGTTTTAAATTTTAGTCTGGTTCTGAACCTTGATAATGTCAGAATCACCCAGGGAGCCCTCTCAAAATAAAGACTTCTTGGCTTTACTTAAACGGTGAGGCCTTGACAAATCTGTAGTTGAAAGAATTCCCCAGCTGATTTTATCTCATATACCCCTTGGGAGTATAATCCTAAGTGCAACCAACCTTCCTTTATTTCCTTGAAGATGATGGTTCTCATTGCACTGTGCCTTTTGTTAAGGGTAATATTATTGAGATCTTAAAGTACTTTTTGTGGCCACCAAGTGCCCACCAAGTTTGCTGCTCACGTGCTTTATAAACTTGAGCCAGTAAAGTATGGTACTAATAATGAGGACCTGTAAAGAAGATACTGTAACTTTAAGAGCACTAAAATGCAAAATGCTATATAGCTATATATCTCTGTTCATGTGGCAGGTGTTTAAGTTCAACAACTCAGTGGTTATCTACTCTGCTTCCTATTCTTATTTTTAGACTCCTTAACAGGTATCACTACCACCCGGAGCAGCACAGCTTTTAGGTACCATTTTGTATTTAGCCACCAAATAAATTTTTGCTGATTCCTAGCACAAAACAGTTTTAAAAGAGCCCATGGCCACTGAGACATGAGCATTCTTGGCATTCTCTCACCAGGGCCAGAAGCTAAGCATTGGGTGGGTCTGGCTCTACTCAGAAGAGATGAGGTGAGCCCTGCAATTCTTGTTGCATGTAGACACCACACAGACTCCAGAATTACAGACACTGAGACTGAAACACAAAAGGATTCTGTACACTCAGAATCCAGAATTGGACTCAATCACCATGAAGGAACATCCCGGAGGGAAATGACAAATCTTAGTCCAAGTTGCGTTTCATATTATAATGATATAATCTATACCCAGTGGGCTATGGAAGCAGCCCACTGTACATCACTTGTCCTGTATGTTTTCCAGGAAGGATAGAGATTTATTTTCATAAAAAGTGAACTAGACTGGAAGGCTAAGGCAGGATGGTAAATTCAAGCCCAGTCTGGACAAATGACTCAGAACCTGTCTCAAAAAAAAAATGTTTTTAAAAGGACTAGGGATGTAGCTCAGTATGAAGAAAGGCTGAGATCAATCCTCAGTACTGGAGAAAAGTGAACAGGAGGGAAAGGTGGGTAGGAGGCATAGTGTAGAGAGACTCTAAGACAGCTTTAGCTGATAGGCGAAGGCAGAAAGAAAGCGCATCATCCAGTGAGGATCATGAGTAGAGTAAGTAGAGTGTTAGCAGGAGGGAAAAAGGCCAACTGCTTTAGGGAATGGCATCCCCATAGGTGCCCTGTATGTATTTTTAGTGTCTATAGGAAGACCTGTAAGAAAATGTTGCTTTTTCTTCAGAACCAGGCGCGCTATGATATTCCTGAAACACAAATTGGGTTTTATCTTTTGGACTGGGTTTTATCTTTTGGACTTAAGAGGTCATTACTGTCATTTTTTTCTAAATTCTTTTTCTAGAGGGACAGGGTAGTGAGGTGCGCTGGCCACTGCACCCAGGGCCTCCTAAAAGCATAGATTCTACCACTGAATTACACCCCCAGCTCCTGCTCATGTATCTTTTAATACTAAGATGTTCCAAAATTTTGGGTTCTCCTCTAGCAAGTCTTGAATCTTACAGCACTGTCAGGCAGTTTTTACTTTTCATAATCACTAACAAAACTAAAAAAAAAAAAAAAAAAAAAAAACAGCATCAACCTCTGAAAAGCTGTACTCAATGCATGGAGGAATCCACTCCTGCAGTCTCAAGGCCATCTACACTTTGGAAACCAAACACAAGCTTATTACGTTTTTTAAAGAAAACTGGGGGGCTGGGGATTTAGCTCAGCGGCACAGCGACTACCTGGCAAGCGCGAGGTCGTAAGTTCGATTCCCGGTACCGGAAACCCCCCCCCCAAAAAAAGAAAACTGACAAGTGCATAATTTGTGGAATGGTCGAAGCAAAAGGGTCTGATACTTAGAGTCTGGTGAACGAGAAGACGGATCGCTGAGACGAGGACAAATGCGGACGCTCCTGCAGAAGCAGCCCCTTTCCCTGCTTGTGAGTAGCAGCGGGGTTTAGGGTGGTCTCCTCTCCAGTTTGGTGGGGGTCGGCCATCGGCTCGCCCCTAAAGCCGTTTTCTAGTTCTGACGGCCTCGGGGTACCCTTCCCAAAAGCCTCCACACAGGAAACGTAAGTCAGTCGTCCACTCCAAGACAAACCTATTTCTTGTCCTTTCCCCCCTGACGTTCTCTCGGGAGCCCCAGAGCACCCTACCACACGCACACACCACGGCCGAGGGTTTTCCCAGAACCCTTCCCGCCTGCACGACCGCGATCGGAGGCGCCCCGACCGCCCAGGGAACCCTGACCCACCTGCGGCCTGAGGGCCAACAACGACCGCACGACCAAGGACAGCTGCAAGCTCCGCCACTAGCGCTGGCGGATGCGGCGACCTCAGGATCTGCCATATCGACCGCCCGCACGGGGGGAGGCGTTGTGGCGGAAATTTATACCTCTTCTTTCTTCAAATTTTTTACTCTCTCTGTTTAAAAAATTCAAACATTATAGATAATTTCTGAATACAACTTCAGTGCAGGTGAAAATACTTGTTGGTACAAGCACTATCACCTACCTGCGGCTTCGTCCCCACCCCCCCCATTGGTATCGCCCGGGTCATCCCCGCCTCCGCCGCTCACCTACAGGTTCAAAATGGCGGCTACCACTGCGGGGTTTCTGCCAGCCGGTGGTCAAGGGTGCCGCTGAGCGAGCGTCAGCGGTTTTCATCCTTGAGCGTGGATTCGACTGGGGGTTGGGAAGGGCAGTGGACGGCGCTGGGGTAGGCCTTACGCGGCAAGTGAGGGCGGGAGAAGGGGGTGCGCCTTTGGATGGGGGAGGGGCGTCCTCGCCCTCGGGGACAGCGGGCTCCGACCCAGTCTCCCAGGGGAAGTGCTTCTGCGGTTCCGGTTGCGACTGTCCTGGAAGTTCTCCGCGAGTGAAAGAGAAGTGACTTCGTGGGTGGAATACTCCCGGGTTGTTTGTGACAGTCCGTACGGTTCTCTCTCTCGCTCGCTCTCTTTAGCTCCTTTCTGCGGTTCTCCGCCGCCCTTTCTGTCCGGGGCTGGGGGACTCATCCGACCCCGGCTTTGGTCCTTCGCCTCGTGGCTGCCGTGCTCTCAGCCTCCCTACCCCGGGTCTTCCCGCCTTCTAGGGCTCAGCCCCCGCGAGGCTGCCACGCGCTGGGCACGAAGTAGTCGTCCAGTTAGCGCGTGGACCCCGAAGTCCGTTAAGATGTAGTGCGGCGCCTTGAGAGAGTTGCCTGCAGCGCGCTCGAGCGCTTCCACCGCCGCTGCACTCGTTCTTTTCGACTTTCTATCTTTTACTTTCTCTTCAGAAAATCGGCGGTCAGACTAGCTCTAACCTCTGCAGGTCTGTGACCAGGCGAACCTGAGCCATCGTTTTTGCCCATTCCCAAATCTTTTAATTGTATTCCCCTTTGATCCTGTTAGGAAGCGCGGCTCTTCCTGAGCAACCCGGAAGAGACTTGCCGTTCTGTGAGCTCTAGTCTCTCCTTCCTTTGTGTTTTGTGTACTTCCCTTTGATTGTCACTCTCAACATGCACGATCGTTATTGAGAGAGCAAAGAACCGATACATAGTATTTGCGATCGAGTTGTGTTGCTCAGAATCACTGCCTGGAGGGATCTGTGATGGGGTGAGGGTTCACTCAGGACACATTTCTGTTGCTTTAAGCACCTTGCTTGATGTTGGAGATACAAATCTTACGACTTTAACTTCAGCTATGCATTCAGCATCCATTCAGCAACTATTCTGTGTGCTAAGTAAAAGAAAGTATCTGAAGACAATGAAATAGCTTTTTGAAAGAGTGAGTATTTGAACGGGGTCGAGAAGCATCAAAAGGAATTTGTTAGGTCAGGAGATCATCCCCGGATGCAGAGCAGGGATGAAGTTTGGACGTAGGCAAAAGGGGAAAATAAATGTTTGAGCATTCAGTGGTTAATAAAGAAGCAAGAGGTAGATTGATATCAGTTTGTGAACGATCTTGATTTTCAGCTAAGGAGTTGAGATTTTTATTCAGTAGTTAGCAGGAAGCCATTGGATAGTTTGTGCAAGGACTGGGTGTGAGAACATTTGGCTCTGAAGATGTTTTCACTAATAGCTGTGTGAAGCATCAACTTGGTACAGGAAAACTAGAGGAAATTTGCAATCATTCAGGTAAGGCGATGAACACTTCCATTGATTTAGGCCAGTTAAAAGTGTTAGACTAAGTGTCAAATAGAATTCAGCTAGTGGCCTCGAGTTTGTTGGTAAGATGACTAGTTTTCTCTCTGGAGGACTACCAGTTTGGGGGCTGTGGTGGCATATGCCTGCAGTCTAAGCTGTGGTATCTGGAAGACTGAGCAGAAGGATCACAAGATAAAGGCAAGCCTGAGCAACTTAATGAGACCCTGTCTCAAAATAAAAGGCCTGGGGATGTAATTCAGTGCCCCCTGGGTTCAAGCAAACAAAAAACAACAAATCAAGTCTGAGTCATGAACATAAAAACAAAATGATGACATTGCCAACCTGCTCTTTATAGGTGGCAAGCACAGTGCTCCACAGTCTAAAGCACTGATTTTGGAGTCTAGACCTGTGCTATTATAGTAGCCACCAACCACGTGCGATACTGAGCACTTGAAATGTGGCTAGTTTGAATTGAGCTGTGCTGTAAACCCTAAGTATGCACTGGATTTTGAAGATAGTACAAAAAATAGTGTGAAGTGTTCAATTTTTTGAAGATTACATGTTGAAATGATAAATTTTAGATAAAACAAAGTTTCATCTACTTTTTTCAGTGTGGCTATGAAAAATTTAAAAATACGTGTGGTGTGTATTATATTTCTGTTGATGAAACTAGTCTGGTCTAGACCAGTGGTGGTGAACCTGCGGCACGTGTGACGCAATGGGCTGTTTGTATCATTGAAAGCTCTAAAGAGGTTTGCTGTCAGTGGTGGAGACTACTGATGAGGAATTAATAAGGAGGTGGAATCTGAGTTGGGCCCTGAGAGAGGATGATGACCAATGATGTCATGACACCCTCCATTCTCAGTGAAGGTGTGGAGCTGTTTTGGTCTTTGTTTTGTCCTCAGGCAGTAAGAGGCTTTCAAACATTTCTGAGCAAAGGGTAATGTGTGTCTGGGTGTTTTTAGTTGGTTTTTAGTTTGGTTGTTTTTGTTTTTGTTTTTTTTTGAGACAGGGTCTCATTTTGTAGTTCAGGCTGACCTTGAACTCACTGTAGCCCAGGCTGACCATGAACTCAGCTGTGTTCCTCCTGAGGCCCTTCTGCCTCAGCCTCCCCAGTGCTGGGGTTACAGGCTTGTGCCACTATGCCTGGCCTGTAGGTGTGTTTTTGAAGGTGAACCTGGCAGGAATGCTTAGATTGAGTTGAAGGAAGGAAAAACTGGAGGCAGAGAAATGAAGAGATCCACATGTAAGGGAACAAGGCCTTATATTAGGTACTGGTGGTAGGACTAGAAAGGGAATGATATATGCACAAGGCCTTCTGAGGGAAAAATAATCTGAAATTGGACAGTTGTCCAAGAAAAGGTAAAGGGAAGAATCAAACAGAATTTCAGGTATTGATTACTTAGGTAATGACTACTGAATGATATTGTAGAATTATAAAGAACCTCTGAGGCTGAAGAAATTTAGTCCCAAAATGGGACCAGCAGAGTTGAGAGGAGCAGGCGGTCTGCTAAATACTCTTTTTAAATCTCGCTGCTTTTTGTTACTGTTCATTCATACATGGCAGCTCATTTTCCTAAAATACGGAATTACCATCTTTCTAATTGTTAATTAAGCTTAAAATCTTCCTGTGTTGTCCGTTGAACTAGGGCTAAGATTTCTTGTGGTCGTCTTGTTGCCTCTATTTGGTAGTGCCCCATCCCCAATGTTTTGCTTATCTCTGTTTTAGCTTTTTCTTTCTACCCAGGTCCTACAAAACCTTAATGAATAATCTCAGTTCCTGCTTCTCTGAATTTCTGTTATTGAGAATTTTGAAAACTCTTTCCTAAACTGCATATTCAAGTTCCTGATCATAACCAACCTGGCTCTTTATTATTTATTTTATGTCTTTTATTATATTATCCCTGTTTTATGTGAACCCAGGCTTCCTCAAGTATGTTTCTTTTATTTAAATGGACTATGTATTATACTCTCTGCTGTCACTCATGGTGTCTTAAGGAAAATGTACAAATTAAAACAATTATAAGTGAAAGAAATCATTACACTGCATTCATAGGAGTCTTTTTTTTTTTTTTTTAGATTTATAAAGAACTCTTCCTCTGAACTTGTGGCATTTTATCACATATACAACTGGGATTTTAGTAAGTAATGAATGTCTGATAAATATTTAGCTGGTTTTAAAATTTATTTATTTATTTGGGTGTGGGTGGGTGTGGTGGTACTGAGGACTGAATGCAGGCCTTCTGTGCTGAGCTGTATTCCCCAGCCTTTTGTTTTTCTTATTTTAAGACAGGGTGTCACAAGTCACCAACTTTCCCAAGCTAGCTTTGGCTTTGCAGTCTTCCTGCCTCAGCCTCTTAAAGTACTGAGATTACAGGAGTCCATCACCATGCCCAGTTTTAAAAAGTTTTAATGTGAATTCATTCAGTAATACCTGCCAGATACTTTGTGTTTTAACTTCACAATCTAAATGGAAAAAAAAGGGGAAGTAAAAGTGTAGTTGAGCAAAAAAAAAGTTCCTTTTAAGGCATTATTATAATTGTGGTACAGGAAGCTTTTTGGCATAGAGAATTTTCTAGTTCCTTCCCAAAGTTGTATTTATAAACATTTTTCATGAAATAAAGAATATTGTCTTTGTAGTTCTTCTACCTCAAGTGGGAACAGTCTACGTCACTATAAATTTTAATTTGCCAACAGTTATTTATTGAACGGCTACTCTGCAGGGTGCCAGATGGATTAAGCCTAATCCTGTACTCAAGAGAGCTGTCCTAAGGAGGGGGAAATACAAGTAGATAAACTCTTAATGCTGTGGTAAGAACATTATGCTTTTTTTTTTTTTTTTTTTTTGAGACAGGGTCTTGTTCTGTATTCCAGGCGGCATTTAAAGTAGCTCAGGCTGGTCTCAAACTTAGAATCCTCCTGCCTCACCTTCACCAATGCTGGGATTACAGGCATGTGCCAACATGCCCAACTCATTAAGTTCATTTAATACTAGTTATGCCTCATTCATTCCCTTCTGAAACACTGACCACCACATGTGTTAGGCACTCTGGAGCCACTGGAATATCACTGACCCATAATTCGAAGTCCACATTCTAATGGGGTCAGGCAGGCAAAAGGAGTCAGACAAATAAGTAAATAAATAAAAAGCAATTGCAGAGAGCTCTAAGTATTTTTAAGGGAATAGAATAATCTTGTAAAGCTGGGCTTGGTGGGGCACCCCTGTACTTGTCTACTTGGGGAGGCTGAGGTAGGAGGATCATAAGTTTGAGTCCTGCCTGGCAATTTAGTGAAACCCTGTCTCAAAATTAAAGAAAGAAGAAGTGAAAGGGGCTGGGATGTAGCTCTGAGAAGACCCTGTGCTCAGTCCAAAAAAAAAAAAAAAAAATGATGTTGCAGAGTGTGCCAGGAATAGAAGAGGGGGGGACTTCAGGATGGTCATAGGTGTGGCACAATAAATGGGAGGCAGAGAAAATACACAAGCTAGTGGGACACCTTGGTGACTGGAGATAGAAGGGAATTAGAGAAATCCATTGAGTTGTAAGGCTCATTGATTAACCTCTGGTACCACCTTAGCCAGTACACATTTCCCTGGCTGCTCACCGTGATAGTGGGAAGTGGGAAGGAGGTGAGAATGGGGAGACACACTTGTGAGCAAATGTCACATTTTGCTTGAAAGAGAAACATAAAAATACCTCAGGGTCACAGGGTTCTTACAAGTTAAGAAATTCTAAAGAGTTTTTGTAGCTTATGGAAGTGGTCCATCAGTGCCAGAGGGAAAAGGAGGGAATGGCTGAAGAAGTCAGGTCCTCAAGGGTAAATAAGGGTGGGATCAAGAACGCACAGAGAGGTTGGCCTTGGATGAGAACAGAGCTGTTTATTACACATAATAGGAGACTCAGCAGTGTACATGAGGCTTGAGTAAGTGATGTGCCATCTGGAAAATGAGTTACTGTCTGTTTTCTCATTGAAGAATGAAGTGACGTTATCAGCTGAAAGTAGGGAGAGGAGGGTGGGGTAATGGTTGAGCAGAGAAATGGTGAGAAATAGTATTCTGAGGTGGAAAGTTAGCCTACAAAGGAAGTAGGATTGACAGGAGTAAAGGCTATTTGAGAATTTTGGCTGTAAATTTAAAGAGCACACAGCACAGTTGTGTGGGAGGTGGTTTCCCATTGTCTGGCAGCTGCTGGAGCAGACAGAGGAAATGACTGGTGTCAGTTAAGGTTGGGATTTTGCCAGGTGGATACAAAGGACTGGAGAAGTAGGTATTTCAGAGTGTCTGCAAAATAGTGATGGATCACACATGGAGGGTTGAGGATCTGAGTAGAGATAAGAAGGGGTCCTGGATAGTGGAACAGTTGTCGGATTGTCTCTTGGCTAATGGATCACTGTAAAAATTTTGCTCTGTAGTTTTAGGAAAGAGTGAGAGTTTGTAAAAATTTAGGAGGAAACATCTTGCATGGATCACCCAAGTGCTGGGATCATCTGCCATGTGACAGTTCTGTGGTGTATTACATTAGGTTACTTTCTATTTTTTGATGCTTGACATTGTGACTTGGTTCCTAGACTTTTGCAGTGGGAATACTTGAATAGGTGAGACGTAGTGAGAGTGAGATGCTGGAGAAATTCTGAAAGTAGCATAGGCAGCGGTAATGATCACGTAGCATGAAACTGGTGGTGGGTGGCTGAAGTGAAATAAGGATTACTGCAGTTAAAAAAGTCAAGGCATTCAGAGCTCAATATTGGAACTACTGAGAGAAAGAACCAACTCAGGAGCTGAGATTCCTAGTGAATTAGATCAGATTAGTAAGTGCCGGCACTGAGGAGGAGATTTGGAAGTCTACTAACTAGCTGAGTGGCATAAACTTTATTAGGACTGGAATATTTAAAAGGCAAAAGAGATGTGGTTTGGTAGCTGGACTGAGGATCTTTTGAAGTCCAAGGAGTGCAAGAGATTTAAAAATAATTTTGAAATAATTCTTGAGAAGGAATAGTATCACTGTGGAACTGCCAGGTGTTTATGAAGACAGGCAGCCGAGTTACAGGTGAGACGAAGCATGCTGCTAGAATCCAGACTGAAAAGATGGAGGGTGGGAAGGTAGGGGGTTGGGTCCAACTGTGAGAAGTACATGTCAGCAATAATGGATAAGAGAGGAGTCTTTGATTTGGGACTGTTACTCAGGTAAACAAGAATAGGAGATGCGAAGGGATTAGCTTCTGACCAACCTGTTATGAAAGGTGGGATAATCAGTAGATGAGCTTGGATAAATAGTAAGACATCAGTAATTCAGTGACCTTCTGTCCTACTTGCATAGTTAGCCAGGAAAAGCCTATTTCATTTCATTTCATTTTTGGTTTTTGAAACAGGGTCTCACTATGTAATTTAGGCTGGCCTTGAACTCACTATGTACCCCAGGCTGACCTTGAACTTGCAGAGATCTTTCTGCCTCAGCCCCCTAAAGGTTGGGATTCAGGCTTGCCTCACCACACCCAACCCAATTTTATTTAAGGAGCTAAAGTTGGAAATGTTGTAGAGTTGAACTTTGTTAATCCACAGCTTTATCGCTTCTGTTTACAGGCAGAGTTCTAGATCATAAATCCCAGTAGATGTGTTAATGTTACACCTTTTGGAAATACATACATGTAATAGGTATCCCAGCATACATTCCATCAAGTAATGTGGAGGACTTGGTATGTCAGGTTTCATTTCAGGGATTGCAAACATAAGATACCACTTCTGTTTTTCACTTGCATTCTGGTGCAAGGTTCTTAACATTAAATTTCTTGAGAATTTTGTGAACTTTTATGTATATATGTACTTTCGAGATTTCGGGAATTGTGGGGGAGAAAGGAGAGTCTGTTATTTGAATCAGATTCTGAAAGTGGTCTACTTATTTAGAGGTTACTGGTCTAAAAAGAGAGAAGGACATGTAAACTAGTCATCGAAATGCAATGTAATCATTGCCATCACAGAGCAAGATAGAAGAGGAACAAGCTCATCGTGAGGAATGAATTCATTCACTGAGTAAACATTTATGTATTGCAGAACTAGGGTGGGGTAGTCTCTAATTTCGGTAAACCTACATGATATTTGAAATCCTTCAACATCCTTTTACATATATGTTAATACTAATGTTTTGTATAGTGGGATACATAGGTGAGAAAAGGTTAATTGATCTGCTCCAAATCACATAGGAATAGATTCAAATCTGGATGTCTCTGATTCCAGAGTCTACTATTTTGCGTTAAACTGCCCCAGGGAGACACTGAGCAACTGTAAATAAGAGTGTAGGGCTGTGCTTGTACTTTTAAACTTGACAGTGATGGCAGTGAGTCTTTAATACTTGCTTCCATGTTTGTTTTAATATTTGCTTCCAGTTTGCTTCCATGTTTATGGAATTTGTGAGCACTTAAAAATGTGAGGTAATTAGTTAATTTGTCTATTTTATGTGCTTTTATGCTTAATTATGTTTTTCTTTTGAAAGAACCTTTTAGATTACTGGACCAAAAAGATGACATCTATTATCAAATTAACTACCCTGTCTGGGGTCCAAGAAGAGTCTGCTCTTTGCTATCTTCTCCAGGTTGATGAGTTTAGATTTTTATTGGACTGTGGCTGGGATGAGCACTTTTCTATGGATATTATAGATTCCCTAAGGAAGTAAGTTCTGTTTCACATTTCTAGACTTTATTAAATTAACTTTTCAAAAAAGATAAATCAATTTGTCTTTCATATACTTTTTAAATATGATTTTGATGTTACAATGTATTGTTCTCTTTTTTTTAAGTTTATAGTAAGAACTTTATTTATGCCAAAAAACTGAATAGTGACCTTTTTAGCTTGTAAAGTTTTGATTGGCTTATTAGTTTTGTTTATCTGAATTCAGCAAAATCTCAAATTGTCTCTTGGCTAATGGATCACTGTAAAAATTTTGCTCTCTAGTTTTAGGAAAGAGTGAGAGTTTGTAAAAATTTAGGAGGAAACACCTTGCATAGATCACCCAAGTGCTGGGATCATCTGCCATGTGACAGTTCTGTGGTGTATTACATTAGGTTACTTTCTATTTTTTGATGCTTGACATTGTGACTTGGTTCCTAGAGTAGTAACCGTGAGGTACTAAAGAACCCTAATCTACCAAAAGAGATTCAGTTAGGAGCCAAGTATAATGGTGCACACCTCTAATCCCAGCACTCCAGAGGCTGAGGCAGGAGGATCACTGCGAGTGGAAGGCCAGCCTGGGCTACATAGTGAGTTCAAGGGCAGCCTGAACTACAAAATGAGACCCTGTCTCAAAACAAGAAAACCAGATCCTGTTATATATGTAGCAAATTAATGAAGGAAAGAGGGCATAAGTAGTTTTAAATACTTAGAATTTGAAGCCAAAAAAGAAAAAAACCTATTGCCAAAGGGAACTTCCCTGATTGACATATTACTATAATGATTGTGCTGTTGGTTAAAAATCCACAGTATATGGCTATTTAATTACTTTCTCCTTAATCATTTCTAAAATTCCAAGCTGAATTCTTGAATTTAAATTAATACTATGTAAGGTAGCCATTCATCATCAACTTACTGTTTTGTTCACCTCTTTTTTTTAAAAATATGTCTAGACATCATAACATCATATGTTTAAATGGAACTTATACCATAATTTTGTTGTCTGTGTAGAACAGGGTAGTAAAAATTAAAATTCATAAGTATATAATTTTAGTTATTTGTTTTGCTCTTTTACCCCTGTGAGGTCTTCAGTCCAGAATGAGTAATTTTGACCATTCTGCTTTTATCCTTAAAAACAAGCATGGAGCAAGTTGTCATTTTGGTTGTGTTCTCCCAGGCACGTTCACCAGATTGACGCAGTGCTGCTGTCGCACCCAGACCCTCTCCATCTTGGTGCCCTCCCTTACGCTGTGGGAAAGCTGGGTCTGAACTGCGCTATCTACGCAACCATTCCTGTTTATAAAATGGGGCAGATGTTCATGTATGATCTGTATCAGGTAATTTAAACAATGAAGGGAAAATATCATACAACATCGGTGATTATTTTTAACCTTTCATTTGTATCACTCTTTTAGTCTCGACACAATACAGAAGATTTTACACTCTTTACATTAGATGATGTGGATGCAGCCTTCGATAAAATACAGCAGCTAAAATTCTCTCAGATTGTGAATTTGAAAGGTAAAAAATGTTTGTGATAAATAATTGTAGTAAATATTTCTGTAATAATGAGTTTTGTGTTGTTTTGTTTTGTTGTGGTGCTGAGGATTGAACTGAGGCTCTAGGCAAGCCCTGTGCCACTGAGACACATTCTCAGTCTGGACTAGTAGAATTTAACCTTCTGAAAAACACTCAGGAGAATCATAATACAACCTATAAGCACTGTCATCTGAGAGTAAACCATTAGCCTTTTCTGCCTTGATATGAAATTCTGAACTTCCATCTGAATTTTAAAAGCATTCTGTTTTTTTGTTTTTTTATTCTTTTGAGACAAGGTCTCACTATGTAGTTCAGGCTTCCCTTGAACTCACTGTGTAGCCCAAGCTGATCTTGAACTTGCAGCTATCCTTCTGCCTCAGCCTCCCAAGTACTGGGGTTATAGGTGTGCGCCATGCCCGGCTTTTAAAAGTATTGGAGATTAAATACTAATACAATTTTGACAGCTTGTGCTTTTAGCATTTTGGTTATTTAGCTTGGGAAAGACTTATTTTAGTGTTTATTATGTAGAGTCAATGAAGGTAAAGGGTGCAGATCCTACTCCCGGGAGCCTTCATTACAGTCAAGAGATGAAGTAGCTCCCGTGTCTAAATGGAGTTATTGAAGTAAATGAAGTGCTATGGTAGCAGAGTAGAAAATTACTAAATTCTATTATTGGACGTTAGAAATTTATTAGGTCAAGATATCATATATTTAGTGTATTTATCTGTAGGAGAAATGCATTAGAGATTTTCTTAAAAATGAACTCCAGCTTTGAAAATACGGTACAATAATGGACTCTTTTTTTTTTTTTTTTTTTTGTAAATAATGGATTCTTGAGAATTTAACCAGGAAGTATCAATGGTCTTAGTAGTTTTGCTTGTATTTGGTTTTTCTGTAGGAATAAATTCTTTATCCTAGTGAGATCTAAATTGTTATTCTACTAGTTTAGATGTTAAAATGGAAACACTTGTTAATATAATATAAATGTTAAAACTTAGAGCTGTGTGTCTCAATAGTAGAGTGCTTGCCTTGCATGCATGAGGCTGTGGGTTCAGTGGCCAGCATCACACACACACACACACACACGAGATAAATTTATTAATAGTTATTTAATAGTATACTAGCTTTATTTTTATTTATTTGTTTATTTATGTATTTATTTTTGTCTTTTTGAGACAGGGTCTTGCTGTGCAGTTCAGGGTGGCCTTGAGCTCATTTTGTAGCCCAAGCTGGTCTTGAACTCACAACAGTCCTCCTGCCGCAGACTCCAAAGTGCTGGGATTACAGGCTTGCGCCACCAGGCCTGCTTTAGTATACTAGCTTTAAAGTTCAATCTCTAGCTTTCTATTTATAAACACAGTTATCTCTGCAAGAATACGTAACAAAACTGCAAGTGTTTGCCTCCACTGAAGGAGTATAGTAGCTGAGGATAGGAATATAAGACTTGCTTTTCACTGTATGCATTTTTACTTCTGAATTTTATATCATTATATGTTACCTCTTAACATGGCTTTGAAATATAACCTTTTTATAGGGTTGGGAAAGAAACTTGAATATTGTCATTATCTTGTTGACATAGGTAAAGGACATGGCTTGTCTATCACACCTCTTCCAGCTGGGCATATGATAGGTGGAACAATATGGAAAATAGTCAAAGATGGAGAAGAAGAAATTGTTTATGCAGTTGACTTCAACCACAAGAGGGAGATGTAGGTATATGAAGACAAAAGCTAAAGAAAAGGCAAATATTATTTAGTTCTATAAAGGCAAAATTAGAAGCATTGTTTTTATTTATTTTTAACCAAAATCTAGAGCAATTTAAAAACATCAACTAATGAATGTTTTTATTGTTACTTGCATTATAAGGGAAAAAGTTTGATGTAGGATATAAAAGAAGTTTTTAAAATTTATGTAAGATTCTTCACTGTAAAACAGCTGTCTCCCTGGAGATACTGCGAAGGAAGTGAATTTTTATACACAAAACTATTTTATATGCCCTCAACCTACTTCCTAATAGAACTTGTGTGGGGGTTGTTTTGTTGATTTGTAAATCAGTAATTACTAATATATCTATGTTTAATGTCACATTCCCTTTAAAAGGGAACACAGTTGTTACAATTGTACATATTTCATTTTGCACTGATAGCATTATTATACATTTTTTGATATTCAGTCTCATATAGGCTTTTGTTGTATTTGTACAGTAAGTTGGAATCTTGTTTATATTAGATTACAATAACCTCAAGATTTTTATATAAGAAATATTTAAGACTAATAGATTGAATTTAGACTTATAGGTTAATAAGGAAAGATGGGTATTTGAGTAAATGGTGAATAACCATTTTGGAAAAAGTTTTGTTCTTTTACAGTATAATAAAATAAATTTCAGGGGCCAGGGATACAGCTTAATGGCACAGCACTGCCTGGCAAGCACAAGGTCCAGAGTTTGCTTTCCGGTACCAAATAAATAAATAAGTAAATAAATTTCAGATGGATTAGAATTAACCAGAAAGATTATAATGGCAAAAAAGTAACTTAAATATAAATAAAACGAAAGGTTCAAATAAATACAGTACAAACATGCTAGGAAGCTTTTTACAATTACTAAAAACTGGTTTAGAAAAAAAATTTAATGTCATGGGAAAAAAGTAGGATATAGCTGGGTGTGGTGGTGCACACCTGTAATCCCAGTACTCAGGAGGCTGAGGCAGGAGGATCACTTGTGTTCAAGGCCAGCCTGGGCTACATAGTGAGTCCATGCTAGCCTGACCTACATAGTGAGACCCTATCTCAAAAAAAAAAAAAGAAAAACAAAAGCCACCTGGGATATAGAACTGAGAATATAGGACAATAGGACTGTATCTGTGATATCCACATCTTGAGGTATTGTAGATTGAACCTAGGGCCTTATGTCTAGGTAAGTGCTCTAACACTGAGCTATATTTCCATACTTGCTATCCTCCTTCCTCAGCCTCCTGATTACAGTTGTGCATCACCATGCCCAGTAGGATATTCACTTTATTTTGGACTGTGGTGGTCCTCTGGAAGGTTTTTATTTTCCTCTTTATACATATTTTTAAAAATTTACTTGACTTCTTTTGAATCAGTGAGCATATATACTTTTATAGTTAACAGTGGTAAAAAGCCTTACAAAATCAGTTGCTTTTTTTTTGAGACAGGGTCTTACTATGCAGTTCAGGCTGGAACTCGCAACAATCCTCCTGCCTCAGCCTCCTGAGTAACTGGGATTACAGGCATGTGCCACCATGCCCAGCTCAGTTGCTTATTTTTTAATGAAGAGAACCTATCATTATTTATTTGAAGTGATATAAAATAGTATTCTTTTCAAACTTTATTTATTTATTTTTTCTTCTCAAACTTTAACAGCCACTTAAATGGATGTTCCCTGGAAATGCTAAGCAGACCCTCTCTACTCATCACAGATTCATTTAATGCTACCTATGTGCAGCCTAGAAGGAAGCAGAGAGATGAACAGCTTCTGAGTATGTATTGTCTAGGGTTCTTTTTAAAGAGCTGTGGATGTGCATAGTCGCATGAAATTCTTTTTACTGTGTTGAACTTGATCATAAAAACTTAGCTAACTCCAGCAGTTTTGAAGAAATACGTGACCATGTCAGTATTTTAAATATTTAAGGTTGGCCAACTCTCCCAGGCTCTCACTGGTATGTTTGTATAGTAAGACTTGCTATATATTAATTAGAAAAACACATTCTAAAAGAAAACTGAAAAAACCAGATAAATGAGGAGACACAGAGAGAGCATCTGCTGGTTTTGGTGTTGGGTTTTTTACACGGTAGTCTTGGGTTTAAAGAGATGGCTCTGAACTGTTGCTGCTGATTTCTCTTTGGATTTGAGCTGCTTCACTTCATGTTCTTTTTCATAAGCTATATGAGATTTCAGCAGGGAAAATTGGATTCTACTTTTAAACACGTTAGCAACCACTTTCTTAGTCTCTCTACCCAGAAAGTATAACTTGTATATTGTATGACTAATCACTAATTCGAATTTATTTATTCCTAGTTTTTTTGTCTGTTTGCTTTTTGCCAGTTATTTCCAAGTAGACTTTCATGTAGAGCCAAGAAATCTATGAAGGTTAAAGATACATATACATGTAAAAACTCTTATACTTTGTTTTTTGTTATTGTTGTTTTGGTTTTAGGAGAAAATGTGATCAGCATTTTATTCTATGGGTATACATAGAAAATATGTGTTCTATAATATATATATATTTGTGTGTTTCTGCACAAATTTGTGTAGAAATATATATATTTGTGTGTTAATTTTGGGATTAACAAACATCATTAGGGTGGACAGGTGAATGCAGGGTGGCTTGGAAGCCCCCATGCTTATTGCATGAGGCCCGGTCATTTTTCCCAGTGATTTTTTTGAGATAGGGTCTTGCAACATAGTTCAGGCTGGCCCCTGACAGGGATCTTCTTGCCTCAGTCTCTCTCATACTGGGATTATGGGCATGTGCCACCACACCTGGCTCAAATACCATTTTCTATGTATATTTGATGTGAAAGAGTTGGAAACTATTGATTTATAATATTTAAATGAAAAAGTTGAGAGTTAATGGCCTTAGTTTTTACCTCTAATGAAGATATATTTGAGAAAATTAGAAGAAGTTGTGTTGACCTAAGCAAAATGTTTCATTTTGTACCAGACCTAATGATTAAGGTTACTTACAGATTGTAGTCTGCTTTATAGAAACAAGGAGACGACGTTATCTTTAATTTTGTAGCACAGTATTGTTTTGTTCTATAGGAATTTTACCTTCTTGTTTTTTAGCAAATGTCCTGGAAACCCTTCGAGGTGACGGAAATGTGTTAATAGCAGTGGATACTGCAGGCAGAGTTTTGGAACTTGCTCAGCTTCTTGATCAGATTTGGAGAACTAAAGATGCAGGATTGGGCGTTTACTCACTAGCGCTCCTAAATAACGTCAGTTATAATGTGGTGGAGTTTTCTAAGTCCCAGGTTTGTTTTCATGTCATCATTTGTAACAACAAGGTTTGCCAGTGACTGATCTTATGAAGTTCAAATCTTAGTTGTCTTTTGGATATTATTTTTCTGAAGAGGTTGATAATAGTAGTTAGTATTAACTATTTACTGTCCTGTATGCTTTACATAATTATTTAATCTTTGTATACCCTATGAGATAGTTTCTATTTTTGTCTCCATTTTACAGACTGAGCAAGTTGCTTCTCTTCTAATTCTTGATATCCTGTACTATAAAATAGGACAAAAATAGAACCTACCTGATAGGGTATAACTGTTAGAATTCATTATTCTTTCTTTTGTATAAACTCTTTCCCTTGAACTAGCAGTCTCTAGGATCAGATATTTACGTAGAACGTACACACTGCTTTCTCAAAAAGATTTAAGGTGACTTATAATCAAATAATAATTATAATCACTGAAAAGTAGAACTTTTAGGATGAGAAATGGAGTGAGAGACCTTAATAGGGAAAGAGAATCAGAAAATTGCTGCTTGTCAGAAGAGTACAGATTTCAGCAACTAGTAGAGGAAAAGAAGACTTGAAATAGAACTTGAATTCCTTGACTATTGTGGGATACATTGAAGTTGTAGTATTTTCTAATCATTGTTATCTTTCCCCCCATATTAGGTAGAGTGGATGAGTGATAAATTGATGAGATGCTTTGAAGACAAAAGGAATAACCCATTTCAGTTTCGCCATCTTTCTTTATGCCATGGTCTTTCGGACTTGGCTCGAGTACCTAGCCCCAAAGTTGTCCTTGCTAGCCAGCCTGACTTGGAATGTGGATTTTCAAGAGATCTCTTTATTCAGTGGTGTCAGGACCCTAAAAACTCAATCATTCTAACTTATAGAACTACTCCTGGGACTTTAGCACGTTTCTTAATTGATAATCCTTCTGAAAAAATTACAGAAATAGAGGTAAGCACTTGTATACAAACTTTATCTTAGAACTGTTTTGGTAGTATGCTATTTAAAAATAAAACTTAAAATTGCCATATTATTTTTGTAATAACAATAGAGAGCATTTAAAGCAAAAACTTCAGAACCCCGTAACTGGAGATTCTTATTCCAGAACTCTTTCACTGTGCTCTATGGAACCATACCCAGAAGGAGTACATCCGTGTACACTGTGTTCTTAATCTCTGAAAAGTTCCATTCAGCCTTTTCCTGAATTGAAATTGGGCTGCTCCCTAATCATGTTTCTTTGTCCTCTCAATTAGACCTTTCTTTTTTTCCATGTTTCTTTTACTTTGGGTGAGGTTGGTAGCTGTCCTTGTTCTGCATTGCAGCTTTCAAGCCATTTTTCTTCCCTTTGCAGTTCATGCCATCAGATCTGATGATGTGCCCCTTGTTTGTGACATTTATTAATCTCTTGGCCATGATCTGTCATTTGTGACTTTAGTCCCTGGTTCATGACCTTCCTGTCCACTCACATGCAGGACTCTCTTCTTGCAGACTTTAACATCTGAATGTAGGCCCTGTCCAATTCCGTGGTCTTCTCAGTTCCTTGAGACCGTGTTCCTAATGCTGTTTTCCTCACTTTACCTCAGCCATCCACTCCCTTGTCATGCTGTTTCCATCCAGATCTTCACATCAAGACTCCCACTCTGATCTTGCAGCTGATTTTTTCTGTTACTTCCATACCAACAGTGCTTCAGTCCTACTGGGACTTTAGTTTGTGAACCTCACCTTTATTCATCCTTGTAGCTTAGTCATTAGCTCTTGATTGATTGTTTTATAAACACCTTTAACTCTGTTACCCTTCAGTTGTTTTTACTTACCTGGCAAAACCTTGACCCTGTCTGTGCCCAGTCGGTGCTTTGTCATTGAGTTAAACACAACCCTGTGGGTAGGTTCCGCTTCATTTTCAAGACCTCACATTTCAAAAGGGTACTCAACATTTATAGGATTTCTCATTCTCCAGGAGTGCAGTTTTATGTCTTCTCACTCAAAACACCCTACAACTCACCCTCAGCCTTGTTCATGGCGCATGACTTGTCACAAGTTCAATAGAGAAAGTAGAATTAGACAGGGATTCCTTTAGGTTACCATTACAAAATATACTAAGCTGTTTCTGCATCTTTATCTCCTCCCTTATCTCCTTTATGGGAGCAAGATAATTTGGTAAATGACCAAGATACTAAAAAATTATATTTCTTAATAACCTACCTATCACATCTACTAATTTTTTCAGAATTGATATTATGACTAAAGTTCATACCAGTTAATGCTGGATTGGATAGTTAATAACAGTCAGGGTTGGACAGCGTTTAAATGACTGGTTTTCGTTCTGGCTTCATGGCAGCCATTTAAAGCAATGCTTAGTTTGTTAAAAAACTCAGTGGTTTCTTTGTCTTGTATAACTCTAGTTAAGAAAAAAAAATGGGTTGGGTGTGGTAGCATGTACTTATTATCCTAGCACTCAGGAGCTTGGGCCAGGAGGATTGTGAGTTAGAGCCTAGGCTAGGCACCTTAGCAATTTAGCAAGACCCTTCTCAAAGAATTGTGCTCCCTTCTGCAGCACATATACTAAAATTGGAAAAAAGGAAAAGGGCTGGAGATATAGCTTAGCAGTGCAGCGATTGCCTATCATATAAAAGGCCCTGGGTTTAATCCACAGTACAAAAAAAGAGCGTGGTGTTAGTAACCGAAGTCTGATATATATTCACTATAAATACAGAATTGTTGGATAAGGATTTAAGCAAGCACATCAGAGTAAAATACTGTCTTGGGTTGTTTAATAGCTTAGAAATAGCAAGTTAAAAAAACTCAGAAGTACTTGGAACAGTTTCATGAGATATAAAATATTGAATTTGAAATTTTAATTACTAGAAATTCAATTAAGGCTGATACGCCATTTGAGGAATGAATAAAAGAATATTAGTGGCAATGATACACAGAAGTATATCAAGCAAGTGAAACATGAAATGTCAGATTTTTATTTTTTGCCAAGTATACGTAGTGCTTAGGACTCTTTCTCTGCTCCCCTTTTTAGAGCAGTTTGTCTGCAGTTACCCCTCCTTTCCCCATTATCTCTTGTCTTTTTCCTTTTACTTAATCACATCCCAAACAGTTATTATTCTACCCTCCCCCCTACAAACCATTTTAGAAAATTTTATGTATCTCTCTATCTGTCTGTCTGTCTATCTATCTATCTATCTATCTATCAAGACAGGGTCTCATTATGTCTTTAAGGCTGGCCTTAAACTCACTGTGTAGCCCAGGCTGGCCTCAAACTTGCTGCAATCCTCCTGCCTCAGCCTCCCGAGTGCTGGGATTACAGCATGCACCATTATGCCCAGCCCAACCTTCTTTTTTCTCAGTCTTTCTTATGGGACTAGCAGCCCTTTCCACATACCTACTAAGGCCAAAAATTTAGAAAATTAAAAATGTTCACTGAAGTAAAATAGGTATTAAAGAGTATATAACATAAGTATGGCATGTGATGAATTTACACAGTGAACATACCTGTCTAGCCTGCATCCAGTCAAGAAATATGATATTATTGGCTCCCCATACATCCCCCTCCTGACCCTCTGTGTCCCCTTCACAGATCTTTAACCACTGCACAGATCATTAACTCACAGATTATTACTTTTTTGGGGGGTGGTACTAGGGACTGAACCCAGAGCTTCACACATGCTATGTAAATCCTGAGTTGCATTCCCTGCCTTTATAACTTATTTTTGAACTCTTTTCTATCTATACGCAATCCATCAGCAAGAGTACTCTCCTACAAAACTACTGCACACAGTGAAACTAGGAGATAAGCATTGATAGTGTACTAGCATTTCATTCACGGACCCCACTCAGGTTCATCCTTCTCTGTTTTTGTCTGGGTCCCCATCCAGGATTATATGTTGGATTAAATTGGCATGACTGTTGGCATTTTTGAAGCATATGTGTTCTTGTCCCTGCTCCCCTTTGATACACAGATATCTCTTTCTTTCTTTTTTTTTTTTTTTGAGATAGGGTCTCACTATGTAATCTTGTGGTGATCCTCCTGCCTCAGCCTCCCAAGTGCTGGGAATATAGGCATGTGCTACCACAGCCGGGTTCACATTTTGTTTTGTTTTTTCTTTTTGAGGCAGTTTCACTATGCAGTTCAGGCTGGCCTTGAACTCACTTTGTAGCCCAGCCTGGCCTGGAACGTGCAGCAGTCCTCCTGCCTCAGCCTCCTGAGTGCTGGGATTATAGTTGTGTGCCACCATGCCCTGCCCATGGTATTTTTTCAAAGGCCAAATTAACCACATATTCTAAAGCTTGTTCTTTTTACTTGAGTCTTTCTTTAAGAGTGAATGTATATAAAGATCTTCCTTACATAGTAGTTGGTATATTATGGAACAAATGTTTTTGAATAGATAAATGAATTCTTTTCAGTAACTTTGTAGTAATACGTTATATACGTGTACTCTGATTGTTTAATCCAGTGGACCTTAAGGAATTCCTCAAACCTTTTTAGGGAGTCTATAAAACCAAAGCTCTTTTTCATAATAATATTAAGATATCACTTGCCTGTTCACTGTTCTGTATTCATGCTGATGGGTAAAATCAATGTTGTAAGAAGTGCTGGTACCTTAGTATAAATCAAGGCAGTGGTACTCCGTGTGCTGTACTGGAAATCACTGCATCTTCTTACGACCATGCACTTGTAGTTAAAAAAGTGCCAAGTTAGTTTAAGAACAGCCTTGACAAAGCAAGTAAAAGTCATTACTATTACTCCATCTGTTTAGTAATTTAAAAAATAATTTTAGTGATGAGAAATGTGCATAAAGCATTTGTATTGTTTGCTAAAGTACCATGGTTATTTCCAATAAAAAAGACCTGTGTGATTGAGTTTTGAGTTCAGTTAGCTGCTTTGTTTTTGAAGTACTGTTTTTCCTTAAAATAATAGATAATTCATTTTTAGGTGTTTGAATGATATTTTCTTAAAAATTAATAAATTGAACCTGTTATTAAATGGAAAGTTACTAACATTCGTTGCTTAAATCTGATAAAATTTTAACTTTCAAGTGAAAATTAAAAAATTTTGGTGATTTGAGGAATTTTGGAAATTGAAATTTCTGAAACTATGACATGGATAGCTGAAAAGGTTTCTGATGAGATTAATGATATTTGTGAATATAATTTTTAAAAATCTTATCATTTGTGAGATCTATGTAATTTGGTGAATGGGTATTTCTGAATAACTATTGTATGCTGTTATGAAATATTGCATAAGTAAAAGATCCATTTAAAATACAAGATACATCAATTAATCATAATTTGACAGAACACAAAAAATTTATTATGGTATGACTTCAGTCCACATTATAACTAACCTTTAAAAAGTTACTTTTTAGCTTGACATGCTATCACAAGCCTGTAATCTCAGCACTGTGGGAAGTTCAGGCCTACCCCATGCAATTTAGCAATTTAGTGAAAACTTGTCTTAAAATAAAACAAGAATTGGGAACATAGTTTGGTGGGAAGGCCCTGGGTTCAGTCCCTAGAACTGTGTGTGTGCACACATATACAATGCATAGAAATTACTGTTTTTTGAGTTTTAATGTATTAAAAGAGATTATATCTGTGAAAAAGCTACTTCCCCTTAGAATATCATATCTAGATAAGGCTACATTTTCTTCACGTACTTTCATCAGAACAACATATTGTAAGGGATTATGTGTAGATGGAGAATTCATGCAGAATCCACCTGTCTTCTATTGAGCCAGAGAATAGAGTTGTAGAAAAATGTAAAATACTGCCATACTTCTCACTTTGGTTTTCCTTTGGAAAATATAGTTGTATTTGTGAAAATATGTTAATATCTAATGGTTTTATTATTCTGATAAACAGGCTATTTCTGAATAACTATTGTATGCTGTTATAAAATATTGCATAAATAAAAGATCCATTTAAAACACAAGATACATCAATTAATCGTAATTTGATTAATTTCTTTTTAAAATTTCTATTGTAACTTTTAAAATTTTTAAATTTCTATTGTAACTTTTGTTATGGTAAATATTGGTGAATATAACCTACAAAAAAAGCTCTGGGATTCTCTAATTTTTAAGTGTTGAAGGCAGTCTGCAGATAAAAGTATGAGTATTACTGACTTAATCATTTTATATCGGTAGGTCCTAAAGTTTTGCCCAATTTTTTACTGTTACAAACATTACTGCAGTGTACTTTTTTTTCCACATTTGTGTGATTGTTTCAGTAGAATGAATTCCTACAAATATAAAAGCTGTCTAATGACATTTTCATTTTTAGATATTAGCAAATTACCTTTAATGTAACTATACTAAATTTTGCATAGTAAGTGAAGTTTCCCTTTCTTCGTTGTAATTAGCTTTGCCAATTTTGTTAATTAAAAATTTTTTTTATATTTTGCATTTTTTTCAAGGACTATAATTAGATATCTTTCTATGACTACTAATTATCCATCAGTCTTATTTTGTAAGTTCTTTATACATTTCGTCTTTTGATATCATTTGTTTCTTTTAATTTTATGAGATTTTTAAATGTCAGACATTTATTTTTTAATGTTGCCATATTTAGTCATTGTTTCCATTAAGGTTTTAGCTTCTGAGTTTTATGTTTTATATGGGTTTTCTGTGGCCTCATCTACTCCCAATTATAAAAGTATTTGTCTGTATTTTCTTCTAATTGACTGGTACTTTTAACCAATTTTATTTAAACTTATCCCAGACATGTAAGAGCTCAGTTTTAGTTCTAATCTAAGTAGAATCTCCAATTGCAGATAGTGGAAATTTGATTAATTTTAGAGGGAAATTGAAAGATGATGAATTAATTATGTGATATGTCACTACCTCAACCCCCTAATATTGACGTTTTCTTTTGTCTACTATTTTTTGTAGTTGAGGAAACGTGTGAAGCTTGAAGGGAAAGAGCTTGAGGAGTACTTGGAAAAAGAGAAACTAAAGAAAGAAGCTGCTAAAAAACTTGAGCAGTCAAAAGAGTGAGTTGTTTTCATATAATTTTAAGTTTAGCTGTGTAATTCGAAAATAATTTTTTTTTTAAGGACTAGGGATTGAACCAGGCCCTTCATACTGAGTTCCATCTCCAGCCCTTTTTTTATCTTTTTGAGACAGCATCTCACTAAGTCAGTAACTTGCCCAGGCTGAGCTCAGACTTGTGATCCTCCTGTTTTAGCCTCCCAGAGTGCTGGGATTACAGGCATGTGCCACCTTACTCAGCTCAAAAGAACATATTCCTAAGATTTAAATGTCCAGTTGGGAATATTTAAATTTTCGTAGAACTTCATTACTTTTGTTATATCTTTAAATGGTTAAAGTACTTATTCCTTTCAGTGCTGATATTAATCTGCACTTATCAATTGGTAGTTAATGCTATATTTTATAAAATATTGATCTAATATTGAATATTGTTATGTCAGTTGAATTAATATTCAGTTAGGAACATTGAATTCAGCTAGTAACATTGACTATTCAGTAATAACTTTATAAATATTAATTGAAAATCTCTGTGGGACATTATGACCTGGATTTATTCCACAATCCTCCCAGGGCAGACATAGACTCCAGTGATGAGAGTGATGTCGAGGAAGATATTGACCAGCCGTCTGCTCATAAGACAAAGCATGACCTGATGATGAAAGGTGAAGGTAGTCGTAAAGGAAGTTTCTTCAAACAGGCAAAAAAGTCTTATCCTATGTTTCCTGCCCCAGAAGAAAGAATTAAATGGGATGAGTATGGAGAGATTATCAAGTATGTGAGCAAAACAGACTTTTCTTTCTTACAGATTATAGGCATCAGTTGTGTTATTTCAGCTCAGTAAATTTGGTCTTTCTGATCAGCGTGTACTTTGTTAGATTCTGAATACCTTGACTTGAAAGATATAGAAGACTTGTAGTTTGAAATAAAAGTAGAAATGTTGAAGAACACCTAGAAAATTGATATTAAGGGAAATTAATACTTAGTTGTATGAGTGGTTTAAAAAGATAAACAAGACTCTTTCCCCATCTAAGAAGAGAGGTAAGAGACATGTATTGGAGAAAGGCATAGGATAAAAGGAAATTTTGGTGGTGATTGTGTTTAGTTTAGGAAATGGGTTATGATCCAAACATTATACATATTTTAGTTATAAGAAGAATATGAGGTAGCATGAGTTGAACCATAAAATATCTGTAGAATTACATCAACTATCAGAAAACAACTAAAACCCCATCTGCTAAACTGCACATTTGAAAACACTTTTCAGGGTCCCCATTACTTCCCTGGTAAATGTCAGATGCCTCGCATAATGTGTGCTATCTTTCATGATCTGGTTTCTTTTTTTCTGTTGTTTTCTCTGTGTTTGTTTATTACCTTTTATTTTATGGTTTGTTTTGAGCTGGGTTGTTGTGTTGCCCAAGCTGCTCTGGAACTCTAGACTCCAATGATTCTCCTGCCTCAGCCTCTCAAGTAGCTGGTATTACACACACATGCCAGTGTATTTGGCTTAGTTTCTCCATATTTCTTGTGCTTTCTTTGTACTTCCATAATGCTATTTGAGCACTTAAGTGGATTTAGGTCATTCCTGGGTTTCTAGAAAATTCCATTATCTACCTCACTCTCTAAAAGCATAGAGAGGAAACATAACAACTTAAACAACACTAGTGCTTGGCTTTGTTTCTCTGTTTTTCATGTACTTTCTTTGTTACTTCCATAATACTGTCTTTAGCATGTAGTGTACTTAAGTCATTCTTGGAATTAATGAGGTAAATTCCCTTGTTGCCCTGGCCCTCTGAACAATAGAAAAGAAAACCACTTGTCACTGATGAATTTGCTTGCAGTTCCACTTGACCATTGGCCAGTCTGTTTAACACATGGACAGTTCTGTTTAGCTTTAGTTTCTTTATCTGAAAATAGGGATAAGAATTACATGAGGGTTTTTTTTTTTTTTCTTTTTTGGGAGGATGTAGTGGTAGTGGTTGTACCAGGTGTCAAACCCAGGACCTTATGCATGCTAGGTACGTGCTCTACCATGAACTACACCTCCAGCCCTGAAGGTTGTGTTCTTAAGGCACTTAGTATAGAACCTGACATGCAATAAATGGCCCTGAAGCGGTTGCTACTGCTGGTGTTACTCTGTAAACTACAGTTAGAGATATTGGACTGCAGAAGGTAAAAATCTGCTGCAGCAATGTGGATGTTGAAGAATAGATGCCTGGATTCTCAGAGGAGTAGAGTGGATTTGGGAGTGAGGCGTAGACAATTACAGGAGGTTAGAGAGAATTTTTAAAACAAATTTTCGACTTTACTTTTAGTTAGAGCTCTGATATTGGAAATAAAAATGGGAAGACATGTTATAGTACACTGAAATAAAGATGAAGGCTTATGAAGAAACTAAGAATTTTGTATCTGTGTTCTCAAAAATGTGCAAATGGAGAATCATCTTCCTTTGGAGAAAAAGGAAATTACAGGCCTAAAGGACAGCTGAGAGGAGTTCTTAGGTGTGTTGTTCATGGCAATGGAAACCATAGAAATTGACAAAAAATAATTATTTGAAAAGAATGTAGTACCAGATTGCAAAGTACTTCTTATAGCCACTGAATTTTTCTAATGACCTTTCACTCGTCTTTCACTAGGGGCCTTTTAACTAGTCTACCCAGTGTGCATGAAGAACACTCTTCAGTGGGCATGAGACTACATGATACATACAGTCATCTGACAATAGATACTATGACACTTACTGGCTTGGGATCAAATGTGTATTTCAGTCTTGAAATTTGTGAGCAGTCTAGAAATGTATGCTACCTACTAGTTGTATATGTTATATAATGTTAGCTTGCTTCTTACTACTTCTAATTAGAGACTTTTTATTTAGACCAGAGGATTTCTTAGTGCCAGAACTTCAAGCTACTGAAGAAGAAAAAAGTAAATTAGAATCTGGTTTGACAAATGGAGATGAGCCCATGGATCAGGATTTATCTGATGTTCCAACTAAGTGTATTTCTACAACAGAATCTATTGAAATAAAGTAAGTGCTTTTGCTTTTGTTGCATTTGGAAAATAGATTACAATATAAAATCTTACATTATTTCAAAGTGAAATTTCTCAGTATCCTCTGGTAAGTTTATACTTTTAAGGTTAATTTTTTTTTTTCCATGAAAGGGTGTGTGAAATATGGTGGTATTTTCTTTTCATTAATGATACTTGAATGTCCAAGTAGTTGAGTTAGTAGTAAGGGGGAGGGGAGATAGACATTAAATGTTTCTGGCCTTCTCATTAAGTCTTGTAGCAGGTAGAAGAGAATAGTGCACCTTGCAAGTTTTCATTTTTTCTGACTAACTGCTTGTTTCACTAATACCCTACTGTCTAGAAAATTTAATTGAAGTTTTAATATCTTCATAACTTCTTAATAGCTACCCTTTTTTCCCTTTCTACTTAGAAACTTCCCCCCGCATTTCTACTTAGTATAATTTTGAAATTTTTTCGGTCATCAGAGAGTAAATTGGTTTATTTTCTCAGTGATACATTTTATATATTCTCAAGTATAGCTAAGGTATAAATAATTCATGTTGAAAGTGTAACACATGTTTTTCTCAAGTCCTCATTTTATATATTGTATAAATTTTTTTCTGATGATAAAAGCCATTTTTTATTTTAAAGAGAAAAAAATAACAGCAAAGACAAAAGCAAAACAACACAAAAACAATAAAAACATTACAGAATTTCAAAATAAGATGATAGGAAATTAACAGTGGTTGTTATATTACATACGGTTGTCTTCATCGAAGTTGCTCAGATTACCAGATGTAAGAATGCAAGATTGATCAAACAAAAAGAATAAAAAATAATTTTAAAATACATTAGAAACGATACAGAGCTTCACTAAACAAGATGGTAGGAATTGAACAATGGTTGTTGTATTGCATATTGTTGTCTTCAAATTAGTTGTTCAGATTACCGGATGGGAGCATGCAAAATTGATCAAAAAAAAAAAAATTAAGCATTAGCAATAATGCTTTCAATAAACCAGTAGACATCAGCAGTACAATTATCCCAGCTATCTTTTATATACATATAGATTTTTTCCCTTCTTTCTTTTCTCCTTTCCTTCATCCCAGTTGTTCCTTCCCTTTGAGCAATTTCTTTCCCTTTCACAATATCTAACGCACCTTTCAGGTTTTATTTACTCTTTCAGGTTCTTATACTAGGGAGACAATACAATGTTTACGCATGCAAGACTGATTTATTTCATTTATGAGTATGGTCTCTTGTTGCATCCATTTATCTACAAAGTCCTCGAGTTTATCCTTCTTTATAGCTAAGTAGTACTCCATTGTATAAAAATACTACCAGTTGATGGGCATTTGGGTTGTTTGTAAGATTTAGCTATGACAAATCATGCTACTATAAACATGAGTTCACATATATTGCTGTGGTACAATGTTTTCAGTTTTTCTGGAAAAATACCCAGAAGGGGAATAGCTGAGTTAAGTAGGACCTTTAATTCTAGTTTTGTAAGGAATCTTCACACTGATTTCCACAGTGATTTCACTAGTTTAGACTCCCACCAGCTGTGAAGAAGGGTTTCCTCTTCCCCACATCCCCTCCAGCATTTGTTATTGGTTGATTTCTTGATGATAGCCATTCTTTCTGGAGTGAGGTGGAATCTCAGTGTTGTTTTAATTTACATTTCTTGAATGACCAATGATGTTGAACATTTTTTCATATATTTATTCGCCATTTGTACTTCTTCATCTGAGAAGTGTGTGTATTCATCTCAAATGCCCAGTTTTGGATTCGGTCTTTGAATTTGGGGGCCCAATTTTTAAAAATTCTTTACATGTTCTAGATAGAAATCCTTTTTCTGAGGGACAGTTGGCTAAAATTTTTTCCCAATTCGTGGGTTTTCTTTTTACCCTATTTCTTTTGATGTGCAAAAACTTTTCAATAAGAGGAGATCCCAATTGTTGATTCTTTCAAGTATTTCCTGTGTAGTTTGGTTTTTGTTCATGAACTGTCTGTCTATTCCTATGTCTTCAAGATTTTTGCCTGCTTTCTCTTCCTGTAGATTGAGTGTTTCTGTTTTAATATTTAGATCTTTGATCCATTTTGACTTCAGTTTAGTGCGTAGTGATAGACATGGGTCTAATTTTAGTCTTCACCATGTGGAAAGCCAGTTTTTCCAGCGTTGTGTTAAAAGCCATTTTTTAAAAAAGCTTAGCTTTGGAATTATCAGAAAAGTAAGCTCAAATAATCGTGTCTAATTGCAGAGCCAGGGTTACTTACATAGACTATGAAGGACGCTCTGATGGAGATTCCATTAAAAAAATCATTAATCAGATGAAACCACGCCAACTGATAATTGTCCACGGCCCACCAGAGGCCAGTCAAGATCTGGCAGAGTGCTGCCGTGCATTTGGCGGGAAAGATATTAAAGTGTACATGCCAAAGCTGCATGAAACAGTTGATGCCACCAGTGAAACACACATCTACCAGGTAAGTCAGCTGCCACCTTAGCCGTAAGGAATTAAACACTTTATGTTGCAGATCAGGAGTGCGGGAGTGAGTGAGATGGACACGGTTCCCTGCCCTGGCAGAGCTGAGAGTCCATGGGGTTTGTAATCAGCAAAGAGCAGCATTTCCCTTCTGGTTATACTTTTTTTGTTGTTTCATTTTGTTTCATTTCATTTCATTTAGTTTGGTTTGGTATGTGTTTTTGAGACAGGGTCTTGCTATGTTGTTCAAGCTGGCCTTGAACTCACTATGTAGCTCTGGCTGGCCTTAAACTCATGGCTATTCTCCTGCCTCAGCCTCTTGAGTGCTGGGATTAGAGATGTGCACCACCAAGTCTGGTTATTATCTCTGATAGAGAAAGTGTAGGATTCCATAAACGTACAAAGACAAAACCCTGAGCCAAACTTGGAGGTTTAAAAAAGGATTCCTGGGGGGCTGGGGATTTAGCTCAGCGGCAAAGTGCCTGCCTGGCAAGCGCAAGGTCGTGAGTTCGGTTCCCGGTATCGGAAAAAAAAACCAAAAAAAAACAAAAAACAAAAACAAAAAAAGGATTCCTGGAAGAAGTAATAACTAGGCGGAATCCTGATGGATGCTTAGGTGAATTGTGAAGACAGCTAGAGTAGGAAAGAAAAGGGCAAAGAAGGTTCCAGGCAGAGGAAACAGTATTTGTACAGGGGAATAATGGTTGTTCAAGAATTCAAAGTTTAGCAAAGAAATTTACGGTTGTGAAGGTTCTTCTCCTAACTGGAGCAAATAGGCGACAGTTACAGAAAACAGGACTAGTAGAGGAGAGATGAACAATTACCTGGTTGTGGGAGATAGTGACAGTTGAAGATAGGAGTGATGTCTGGAAAAAAAAGGCATTAGCGCTGAATAGGCAAAAAAATTATTCGGGTAGAGCAAGAGGAAGCAACATTCTGAGACAGGAGGTATGAAACGGCGTGGAATACCCGTGCTCTGGAGTCCGCCAGCACCAGAGGCTGAGTTGCTGCGAGGCCGGCGTGGCGGCGCGTGAGCATCAGCGGGTGCTCTGCTCATTCTCACTCGAAGTAGTGCAGCTATAGGCACCACCCTGGCATTCACGCTAGAAAAGAACAATGCCATGTGATTCCATGTGCAGCCAAGGTTGAGAGCCTCTGCTTTGGGAAGTAGACCAGGACCCTGATGATCTTCTAGGCTGTTGCAAGGATCGGATGAGTGGAAGATTTTCAGATTTGAACCCTCGCATCAGAGTTAGGAAGTGACAGTGAGAGGCCACATATAATTTGTTAATTTATACTCTCGGTTTCCTCTCTCCCTCTCCCTTTTGCACATCCAGGTGAGGTTAAAAGACTCACTTGTCAGCTCCCTTCAGTTTTGTAAGGCAAAAGATGCTGAATTAGCGTGGATAGATGGTGTCTTAGACATGAGAGTTTCCAAAGTGGACACGGGAGTAATTTTAGAAGAAGGGGAGCTCAAGGATGATGGAGAAGACTCAGAAATGCCAGTGGATGCTCCTTCCGATTCCAGCGTCATAGCGCAACAAAAGGCCATGAAAAGTCTGTTTGGAGATGATGAGAAAGAAACAGGTGAAGAAAGTGAGATCATCCCTACTCTGGAGCCCTTGCCGCCTCACGAGGTAGGAAAGCCTGTGCTCTTCAGTCTCCTCCTTGTCTTCCTTCTGGTTTTCTTTCTATGTTTGTAACCATTTAAAGTATGTTTTATGTAGGCTGTTTTCAGAGTTCTTAAAAAAGATTACTCAAGCTGGGCGTGGTACCCATGCCTGCAGTCCCAGCACTTGGGAGGCTGAGGCAGAAGGATCGTGCGTTTGAGGCCAGCCTGGGCTACATATCTAGTTCAAAACCAGCCTGGACTACAGAGCGAGACCCTGTGTCAACTACTGCAGCTAAAAAAAAAAAGATTGCTCTTGACGTGTTCCTGTGTTCCTGTGTGTGTATCCAAACTCTGTGGCTAGAAAATAACAATTTAAAGGAAACCTCCACGAAATCTTTCAGCATATAGAATGGTTTTTTGTTTTTTCAGCCAGGGTTTGTTTTGGTTTGGCTTGGTGTGGTGTTTGGTTTTTAAGACAGGGTCTCACTATGTAGTTAGGCTGGCTTTCAACTCACTGTGTAGCCTAGGCTGGCCTTGAACTTTCAGAGATCCTCTTGCCTCAGCCTCTCAAGTGTTGGAATTACAGGTGTGTGCCACCACCTCCAGCTTTCAGCATGGATTTTTAAATATTAAGCTTGATTGTGAGGATGATCTGCCTGCTTCCAATCAGATTTATAGTTTTCTGAGAATGTCTTACTCTTGCATTCCATTTTATATGTTGTCAGGTAATTTAAATCACTTTTGGATTTGATACAGTTAGAATCTTTGATTGGATATAGCCATAATTCTAGCCTGGTATTCGTTTACGTTTTCTTAAGGGGGAACTACTAATTGACAAAGATTTCAGGTAATGAAATTTAGAGCAGTATTAGAGCTGTAAGAGCCCTACGCATTAAGGGTAGTCTAGCACAGCTATGAATCTGACACTTGCATTGGATTCCCTTGTAGTACTGCTCTTGAGATTGGCAGGATGAATTAGAGAATCTTCTTTTCTCTCTGTGTGAAAGCTAGCACTCTTCAGAAATTTCAGAGTTACAGCATTAGGCAAGGGCCACTTTACCTTCCTGATTCTAAACCTGTGGCACCTATTGCATCCACTGTGAGGGAAGCGGGAAGTGGAAATGGGATTAGGGAAGAATTATCCCCTGAACTAAGCAAAGGCCTAGGGTTTGGAAAATGAATTTGTGGTTCAGTCCTGCCCTTTGGCACTCTAGTTGACCTTCTAGCAAGTGAGTGAGTGAACAGCATGTTACCACACATCTCTGTTATTAGGAGGCGTGACTAATAAAATTGTGAAACATCAGAAAATTGTGACGGGCTTTGTAATGTTAAGTAACGAGGTAAAATCCAAAATAACAAACGTGGAATGTGATTTACAGTCTTGATATAATCTGTCAAAGGACTTGGGGGAGTAATAAAAAATATCTCAGCGATCATGCAGTGCTTCAGTTTATTTAGTACCACTTTGTGTATGGTGTTTTATTTGAAATTATTGTTTCCCCTTTGACTTTACCCAAGGTTCCTGGACATCAGTCAGTTTTTATGAATGAACCAAGACTGTCAGACTTCAAACAAGTTCTTTTACGGGAGGGGATTCAAGCTGAATTTGTAGGAGGTGTACTTGTCTGCAACAATCAAGTAGCAGTCCGTAGAGTAAGTTCTTTTTTAATAAGGACTGAATTGAACACGTCCTTCATATATTTTGTCAGTTTGAATTCTTTCTTGCTTGGTTATTTCACACAATTGAAAACCAATAATTTAGATTTATAATGATGACCTTGAAGTGTGACTCGCAAGAAATGATACATAATTTTATGGTAAATTTTTATTGCTTGAATCCTCTGACATTTATGTGTCTATATAAAATTCCTTACTTGAATATTTATATTTGATAAATCAGCATTCTATATCTCACTAATTATAATCTATTATGTTTTGCTTATTATGTTTGCATATTAATGAATAGCAAATGTACTAAACAACTCTTTTTCTTAAACTTGCTTTCTAGACGGAAACTGGACGCATTGGATTAGAAGGCTGTCTTTGTCAAGATTTTTATAGGATAAGAGACCTTTTATATGAACAGTATGCCATCGTGTAAAGGACATGATGTCAAGAAGTATCTGCTTGACCTTTCTAAGAAAAAAGGGTTCTTACCTTATTCTAAGCTTTTGCTCCTTTCTTTTATAACATATAAAAAGAATCTACCAGAAAAACTGAACATGTGTTAAATTTTTAAAAATGTAAATAGAAGGCTGGGAATATAGCTCAGTGGTAGATGCTTGCCTAGCATGCATAAGGCCTGAGACTTTAATGCCCAGCGTCAGAAGAAAAGAAAGGTAGCAGGGAGGAAAATTTAAAATGTGAGTAGGACCCCTTTTGCTAATGCTCAGAATGAGCACCCTGCCTTTTGGCTTTCAGAGTGACAGAGGACCTAACAAGTGTACAGGCTGAGAATGAAAGATGGCCAGTTTCCTTTACACACCTTCGCCTTAGAAGGGCTTTTTACTTGAATAATACAGTGCAACTTAGCAAACCAGTTCATGGCCTTAGAGAACATGTTTGCATGTCCTCTTACAAACAGCTTCTTGTATTTTCTGGAATGAAAAGAGAATTATTTGACAAAGATGTGCTACAACAAAACTAAACTGATATAATAGTTTTTTGAAGATTAGGTATTTAAAAAAAAGTATATGTGCTATGGTTATTTTGAATTCTAGTGTATATTTTCACATGGTATGTATCTGTTCTACGCCTATAGTTCCCTGTGATTCATGCTAATGTGAGGTACTATGTATTTTGTCCAGGAATCAATTTTTATTTCTCCCATTTCTTGTTCTTAAGATTTTTTTCTTGTTCGATTTGAATTACTGCACCATGATATATGTCATCCAAAAGAACTGCTTGATGTGTTAGTCTTAAGGATTCTATGTACATATTAGACACAACTGTCAGCTGGGTTGTTGTACTTGAAACTGTTTTAGTGCTGTATTTTTAAGGAAAATGTTGAACTTCACTTTTTTTTATAAAGTAGCAGTGTAATTTAATTAAAAAATGTAAATGTTTTCCTCTCTTAGGCTTGCTCTCTTCTAGGGTGAGTGCAGCAGTGGTTGGATTTTATATACATTACTACAGAAATAATACTGAAATTGGCTGGGCACAGTAGCACATGCTTATGATCTCAGCTACTCAGGAAGCTGAGGCAAGAGTCACAAGTGCAAGACCCACTTGCGTAACTAAACAAAACATTCTCCAAACAAAAAGGATTGGGAATGTAGCTCAGTGGTAGAGTGTTTGCCTGGCATGTGGGAAGCCCTAGGTTCAGTCCCCAATGCTGCTAAAAACCAAAGCAAAAAACTAAATTGGATAAGGTCATCTTTGCTGCCCTGATACAGTATAAACGATTTGTATTGAAGAGTAAAATATGCAATTTTCATTGGATTTAGTCAATGAAAACCATAGTGCCCTATTTTAATTTGTTGATTATTATTATTTTTTAGAAGGTAGCTTAATCACAGCATACCTTAATGCTTACCCTCTCTACACTTAGCATTTTTAAGAGAATCAATCTTTGTTAACTTCTGTGGAGTTGTGCATATTTCTACCCAGTGACATCAGAATAGAATTAATACTTCATTCTGTTTCAAATGCTTACAGAACTTCTGTTGTGGATTATAATACTAATACAAAGTTTATAGCCTCCTGATCCTGAAAACCACATACACAAACTAGTATTTCAGAAGGTGAATAGAAAAGGTATATTTTCTTTTTAGCACCTCAAAAATTTTTGTCTCAAACTTCTGCTGCCGTATAATTCTGTTTTTATCCCACGGGAGGGGCTGGGGATTTAGCTCAGTGGCACAGTGCCTGCCTGGCAAGTGTGAGGTCATAAGTTTGATTCCCGGTACCAAAAAAAAAAAATTCTGTATCCCAGGAGAAAGAAAGTGTATTTGTTTCATGGTTTAAAGTATCTTGCAAACTTGGTTTTACATATTATATCACAATACCAATGTTGAAAAACTTCCCTTCCCTTCCCTTTCTGTTGGCATATGAGCAATGATCAAACTTTACAGTACCGAGCTGTAGTGGGTGGGTGGCACATGCCTGTAATTCAAGGCGTGGGAGACTGAGTCAGGAGAATCAAGTTCAGGATTAGTCTGGGCAACATAACATGCTAAACAAACAAACAATACATAAATAACCCGCCCCCAAGCACGTAAAGATTGCCATGTTAAATGTCACTGGAAGATCAATACTTTTGTTTCTAAAGAGATGACAATGTTCCTGACATTTCTAAAATGAAGACCTTTGTTTTAGCATGTTACTTAGAAAAATACCAGTTTTACTAGCGACTCTGAGGTAAAACAAACTCAGAGAAACTTCCAGATCTTTATTGTTTCAAAGCAAGAAAAAATACTTGTGGACTATCAACTGATACCTGCAAATAATTTTGTTGAAAAGAAATTTTATTGTAATGTTTGTTGCAGTGGGTTTATACATATTGGGTATTGTTGCAATTATTTGTATATTTTCAGGACCCAGTAGCTGACTTTCTGGTGAGGAAATGAGGAAGTCAGTTTTCTAAGGAGGGCCATTCACCTTTGTAAAAGTTGGGGTGTGGTTAACATGCCATAAAATATACATTGTTTTTGAATGTATAGTTCATTTGGTGTGTTTACAGAGTTGTGGAGTCATTGTTCTACTGTCTAATTCCAGAACATTTTCATCATTCCAGAAAGGCACCCCATGCTCATTAGTAGTTATTCCCCGCTTTTCCCTTCTCCCTATCCCCTGTCAAACATTAAATTTTCTGACTATGGATTTCCCATAAACATAGAATCAAGCAACGTATGGCCTTTGGTGTCTGACTTCTTTCACTTACCATAATACTGTTCTTAAGGTTCATCGATATAGTAACATATGTCAGCATCCTTTTTATGGTGGAACTATATGCCATTGTATGGATATTTATACCACATTTTCTTTTTTCATCAGTGGGTGGATATTTGGGTTGTTTCCAATTTGGCGCTGTTATGAAGAATGCTGCTTTGACCAGCATGCATGAGCCTTTTTTTTTTTTTCCTTTTTGAATATATATTTTCAGTTTTCTTGGGTATATATCTAAAGAATTGAATTGTAATTCTGTTTAATCAGTTAAGGAGCTGGCAGGCTGTTTTCCAAAGTAATTGTACTATTTCACATTCCCACCAGTATTCATATATATATATATAGGCGTTCCACTTTCTCCACATTCTTTTTGACATTTCCTTTTTTTTTTAGCAATCCTAGTGCATGTGAAGAGGTATCTTGTTGAGTTTTCAATTTGATTTTTCTCTAATCAGTAATGGCAAGTATTTTTTCATGTGCTTATTAGCTGTCTTCTCTGGAGTGATAGCTATTCAAATCCTTTTTTCCATTTTTAAATTAGTTTTTTAATAATTGAGTTATAAGGTTTCTTTAGACATGTTCTAGATACTAAACATATGTATATAATTTATATATATAAAATACATATGTAATATTTACTTACATATTTGCATATGTAAGTAAATATATATGTAAATTGTATATATGTATGTGTACATGTTTATGTATGTGTATGTATATGTATGTATATATATTTTTTATGTATATATGTAGGTAGATATTTTATCCCAGGCTAGCCTTGGCTTGGGTCCTCTTGCCTCAGCCTCCCGAGTGGCTGGGCGTACAGGCGTGTACCATCATGCCCAGCTTTGAATTAATTTTTGTTGATGGTATGAGGGAGATTATTTCCCCACTGAGTTATTTTGCTACCCTTGGTGCAAATTAGTTGTTTCATTGATCTCTGTATATCTGTTTTTATGCCAGTACCATGGCATCTTGATTAAATTGTAGGAAGTTTTGAAGTCGGGTAGTATGAATAGTTCAGCATTGTTCTTTCAAGATTATTTCGGTTTTTTTGTGTTGGTTTGTTTTTGTTTTTGTTTTTGTTTTTCTCCAGTACCGGGAACCGAACTCACGACCTTGCGCTTGCCAGGCAGGCGCTTTTGCCGCTGAGCTAAATCCCCAGCCCCATTTCAAGATTATTTCATATGTGTTGGGTCCATGGATATCCGTGTGAGTGTTAGAAATAGCTGATCAGTTTCTACAAAAAAGCTCACTCACTTCTGATAGAGGGGAAAAGGCAGTTGTTACAGCTTAAAAAAATCTTAGAGAATGTGATGGCTGAGAGTGACTAAAGAGCTCATCTAGCTCAGCCTACTCACTTTCGTTTTGAAGGGTGAGCCTATGCAACAGGAAGGAGTTGCTTGACATCGCCTAGCGGGTGAAAGGCAGAGTTGGATTGGAAGCTTCTGTCCATCCAGTCTCTTCTCTGCCGTTGTGGTGCTGCAGTTCCTGGCTTATATTCATTTCATCTGTCCTAAGAATGGCAGCTGTTACTTAGGACAATAGCATGCTGAGAAAGATTGATTACTATTCTATATCATGGCCAGTAAAGGTGAGAAAGTAACTATAGCATGCACTTTTCTTTGGTCAAAAGCTTCTACAGTTGTATCACAAGGTTGTTCTTTAAAATGTTGATGAACTGGTTGTCACATAAGTTAGGGTGGTATAGAATGACTACATGAAGATAACAGTGGGAACTAAAATGGGAACACGTAGATCTGCCTACCTGCACTGGATCCAAGGAAAGATTTGGGGCTTTTTTTCCCCTCCTTTTAAATTTTTCTGTCACTTTAACCATTTCAGTTGTGTTTATAGGAAAATACCCAAAATTACTAAAGTAAATTTAAAAATCAAGACTGCTGAAAGTGAAGGTACCTACTATCACTTTATCAGCTCTCCTTGTCTTCATTTCCACCCACCCAACATACGGCTTCATTTTTTGATGCTTTTCATTCATTATTCAGGCTCCTTTCATTTTAATTCTGGAAGTCAAAATGATTCCAAAGGGCCTAATAGAAGGCTGGAGAGTTTTAAATCTCTCTTTGTTATATTTGAAAAGAACCAGAAGTGTATGCTTTTTATGTGAAATTGTTAATGGATTCCATGTATCCTACCCCTCCCCCATACTGGGAATGAACAAAGGGCCTCTCGCATATTAGGCAAGCCCTCTCCCACTGAGGTGTATCCCTCAGCCCCCTACTCAAACGTTTAATGCTGAGCAATAATCTCAAGCAGAGAATATACAAAAGATTCGTAAGCACTTACCCACTTCCTGAAGTTAGTATTAATGCTTAGTAGCCAGTTTGTAGTATTTCTTTTTTACTTGACACAGTTATATTCTTTTAAAAAATATACTATTTGTACATTCAATACTAGTGGAGGCCTTCAAACAGATCACTGTAGGAAGCTTTATTCCAAGAATACTGCTGTCCTTGTTTTAAAATTTTTGGAATTTTTTCTTCAAATTCATTTCCTAAGCTTATTAGAAATATAATTGTTTCAGAAGTACATTATGGTCTTTGCTCAACATGCCATTACCACTTTATTGTATGATGAAAAAAATTAAAACTCCTCCGAAGGACAGACATTTGCTACCATAGGCAAATTTTATGTTAAAAATCATTTAATATCAAATTCAAAAGTAGTGGTGTGTATACCAAAAATTATAAAAGTACACAGTACTGTAATTTCCACCTTTGGCCATAGGCCATGGTATAGCTGACCTTTCAAATTTCTGTATCAAAGAACATAAATACTATATTAGCTTTCCCATGTTGGAACACAGTATCTGACACCCATAATTTAAAGGAAGAGGTTTAATATAGCTCACAGTTTCAGGGGATTCCGTCCATGGTTGGCTGGTTGTAAGGCAGCAACATTATGGCAGAGGGTGTAGTGGAGCAAAGCTGCTTAGTTTATGGCAGTAGGGGAATAGTACCAGAGACGATGGATGAGGGCTATAGATGGTACCCAAGGTCACACCCAGTTGACCCACCCAGAAGTGTGTTCCACCTGTAGCTTGGGCAGCTCCCAAATTAGGCTGACACAATCAACCGTCACAAATGTATGAGACTGTGTAAATAATTTTAAATTATGTGAAAAATCTGAAATGTACAGAATTTTAATTCTCAGTGACTTAGTATATATGATTTTTTCTTTCAAGGAGATAAACTTGGGGAAAGGATGTTTAATAAGGCCCCAGAACACTGTGCATTGTAATTTTTAAAAATTTTATTTTATTAGTACATGTTTGCAGTACATGCATTTTACAGTCATCTTTTCGTGTTTTGTTTTTTTTTTTTTTCTTTTTGAGACAGGATTTCACTATGTAGTTCAGGCTGCCCTTGAACTCACTTTGTAGCCCAGGCTGGCCTCAAACTCTCAATGATCCTCCTACATCAGCCTCCCAAATGTTGGAATTACAGGTGTGCGCCACCACACTTGGCATATTTTTTTGTTGTTGTTGTTGTTTTTCGTTTTCTTCTGGTACCAGGAATTGAACTCACAACTTTGTGCTTGCCAGGCAGGCACTTTGCCACTGAGCTAAATCCCCAGCCCCTGGCATATTTTAGTTATTAAGCAGAACTAACTATTCTTTTGGATACTTTTACCAAAGTTAATCAAACCGTAGAGATATTTTTTCCAGGAATATAAAAACCAATGTAATAAATTCCTTATAGTTAAGCAGTCATATGTACTGATCTTAAAAGCTTTTTATTTTGAGATAGAGTTACAGAGAAGTTAAAATAGTTTAAAGTATGCTATATATTCTTCCCTTAAGTTCCCTGTTAATATTTTGCCATATTTATCTTAACATTATATATAAAATTTCTTGAACATTTGGATACTAAGTTGCAGTTATGTCACGTTAGTCCTAAACATTTCACTGTGTATCTTTTAAAAAGTATGGATACTCTCCTACATCACCACAATAACCCATCAAAATCAGGAAATCAACACATAAATTTCTACTGTTCAATCCACAAACCCCATTCAAATGTTACCAATTATGTATTTTTTAAATGTCATAACTACTTTTTGATCTAGGATCCTATCCAGGCTGATGTATGCATTTAGTTATAATTTTTCCTTTAATCTTTCTCAGTCTGGAGGAGTTTCTTGGTTTTTTTTTCTTTTTTTTTTTTTTAAATGATCAAGACATTTTTAAAGAGTGCAGGCCAGTTACTTTGTAGAATAACCTCCACTTTGGCTTTGTCTGAGGGTTCCTTTTTTTTTTTTTTGTCTGAGGGTTCCTAATGATGTGGTTCAGCTTATGAATTATGGGTAGGAATGCCAGAGAAGTAATGCTGTGTCTCTGCATTGTATCAGAAAGGACAGTCAGTTTTTTTCTATTGCTGGTGGTGATCACAGTTGGTTATGATCTCTTCCAGGTTTCTCCACTGTGCAGGTAATAGTAATTTTTTTCTACTTTTTCCTTTCCTTTTGATATTAACTGAAAGTATTCATGATATGTATATGTCCACAGTGGAATGATTGCTACAGGTACTTATATATTACTGGGCATTTTGTCAGGAGCTACTTTGATACTGTGGCAACATCCTGATTTTCTTCAAGTTTTTATACTCTGGTTTTGGCATAAGTTGGTGATTTTCTTCTGAATCACTTACTGCCAAATGGTGATTTTCCAGTTCTACCTTGCTTCTACTTTTAATTAGCATTCTACTTCCCATTTATTCTGTGTTTCTGTACAGAACATGTTTTCTATCTGCGCATTCTCCTGATTTATTCTGATGATCCTCTTGTGCTGGACTTGGCAGGTGGGAGCACTCTCAGGCTGACTGCAGGGTCCTTTTGACACATCCCCATGTTCTTAGGTTTCTGGCTCCCCGAGATATTCCAGGCTCACTTTGTATTTTCCCTACCCTAATCGTGGAGTCAGACATTTCCTCCAAAGAGTCCTG